CCACCCCCTCCCCCCTCCCCCAAGGCCCTGCGCATCGCAGTGAACGACGAGCTGGGCCAGCTGGAGGCCGCCCTGCCAGCGGCGCTGTCGTGCCTCGCCCCCGGGGGCCGCCTAGCTGTGATCTCGTTCCACTCCCTGGAGGACCGCCTGGTCAAGCACGCGTTCCTGAGGGCGGCGGGGCGGCCCACACCCGACATGGAGGCCCTCACCTACGGGTCAGAGGGGCTGGAGGCGCTCGAGGCGCTGAGGGCCGGTGCGGTGGGCGACACGGTGACACGGCGGCCGGTGGCGCCAGGGCCCGAGGAGGTGGCGGCCAACCCGCGGGCGCGGAGCGCGAAGCTGCGCGTGTTTGAGCGCGCCGGGGGTGAGGGGACAGCCGGCAGCAGTAGCACGCATCGGGGCAGCAAACGTCGGCGAAAAGAGCAGGAGCGGGCCGCAGCAGGGGAGGTGGTGTAACCATTGGCACAGCCCACCCTGTGCAGTGACCCTGCTGGCAGCATGGACAACTTGCAGGTGAATCCCAGCAGGTGCGTCTAAAAGTTGCTCAACCAGCTGTGATCCTGCTTGATGAATGCTATCTGTGGCATTACATCATTGAGCACTGCCAGTCTCAACTTTCTGCAACGCTGCAAGACCACGACCACCAGTGGATGGCAACACGTTACAAACGTGCATGTCGTGGAGGCCGCGCTAAAAATAAAGCAAAGCATGCATGCGTGTGCGCCCTGTCGTTTGCGCCAAGGCTGCTCCACAGCACAGGCAGCAGCATGCAGAGCACGACAGTGCGCCTTTTTATAATACAAAGAAAAGCACACAACGCGCTGGGTTTTATAGGTCATCCGTCGTGTCCGAGGTCAGAGGGGTAAAGGCGCGGCGACGCGCGGCAGGCGCGCGAATAGGGCAGCGGGGGCAACACGCCCATGAGAGCCCTAACACGTACGCCGCCGCGCACAAGCGCCATGCGCGCAATGTCCGAGGGCAAAGTCAAGAGAAGCATGTGGCATGGCACGCGCACATTGTGCCGCGCTTTGGCGCTGCTGTCATGAGTGTGCTTACACGTCCTTCTTGCCGACCTGCTTGTTGATGAGGGACTTGTGGATGTGGGGGATCACACCGCCGCCCGCGATGGTGGCCTGCGAAAGAGCAAGGCAAGGCGCCAGGAGGTGTTGGTTGGTGTGTGCGCATCTGTGTTGTGCTGACATACAGCTGCCTGCCCACGCGTCCCGACTTTGGCACCAACACTGAGCAGGCCATGCATGAATGGTTCATAGGGTTGCCTGGCGCCCAGCTGGTGAGCTGTGCAGCCCCTCACCTTGATGAGGGTGTCCAGCTCCTCATCACCACGGATGGCGAGCTGCAAATGGCGGGGCGTGATGCGCTTCACCTGTGGGAGGGAAGGGAAGTGTTTGAAAAGGGGGGCATGAGTTGCGTGCTCTGGGTCGACAACGCGGCCACCAGCTACACGCATGTGCACTTGCTTATCAACCACTCCGGCCGGTATTGACAGAGTGTTGTGAGCACAAGTGCCATGGGGCGGCGTGTGCCGCACGAATGCAACTCGCCTTCAGATCCTTGGAAGCGTTGCCTGCCAGCTCCAGCACCTCCGCGGTGAGGTACTCTGGACAATGGTACGATACGATGTGGGGTGTAAGAATGCAGAGTATGGGACCGGGGAGGAGGCGGGGATGCCCGCGCAACAACGCGCGTACAACGCTCGGCAGGCCTTATCGTCGCCTGCAGTCTCACCCAGGATCGCCGCGGTGTACACAGCAGCCGTGGCTCCCACACGCCCGTTGGCAGTCACACGGGTCTGCAGGGAGGGGGAGAGGGGGTGGTCGGGGGGGTGGTGAGTCCCGTTGTTGCCTCGCAAGGAGGCACCCCTGCTGATCGTGCCCTCCGCCCGTGCCCCGCCTGCTCACACATCCAGTTGACATATACAATGCTCTGGACCGCCGCGGGGGCCCCTCACCTTGAGCAGACGGTGCACACGGCCCACGGGGAACTGCAGCCCGGCCCTCGCCGAGCGGGACGTGGGCTTCTTCTTATCCTGAAGGCTCTTCTTATCGGCCCCGTGCATGGTGCCCTTGGCACCCTTGCCCGCCAGGCCCTTGGCTCCCTTTCCGGACATGGTTGCTGTACTGTGTGGTGTTGATCAGGGACGAGGGTGTAAAGAGGAGCGCTGATAGGCGTCGGAAGAGTCTGTTGCAAGCGTAGGAATGGCCAAACAAACGTGCGAGCGTCCACAAATGTTGCTGCGAGGTGGAAGCCCGGGCGTTGTGCTGGCACCCGGCTTCAGGCCTCGGGGCGCTGCGTAATTGCTTGAAAAAGTATGCATGTCACGCTCACAGAGTGTGGCCGACAGGGGCCGGGGGAGTGTGCGGGGCAGCCTCATCGTATGGGCAACGCGGGGTTGTGGAGCGTGCAGCCAGGACTTGAGGGGGCCCAGAGGCGCGGTCAAGGTGCTGTAGCCTCACCCCTGCGGCTGCAACGCTGCGGCAACTCGCGACGGACCCTCGCCATGCGCTCGCCCGCTTTGCAGCTGTGTGCGCGCATCGCTGCTCGGGGCGTACCGCCGCCCTGTGCGCCATATTTAGAGTTTGTTTGGTGTTGTAGGGCGCCCGACGCGGCCGCTTCGCCTGGGGACGCGCCCGTTGGGCAGGCCTGGCGTGCAGCGACGGCAACCTGAGCGGCGGACTGCGATGCTGCTGCAGTAACAGCTCTCGTGGCCCGACAACTGCCAATAAGCGATACATTTGTTGTTTTTGAGCTATTAATGCTGCGATTGCGCACGGTCGCGCCCAACACATCGGATCTCAAGGGCTGTTGGTGGCGTTCAAACACCTGGTGCGTAACCGCCCACAGCCAGGCTCGCAACGGTCGGCCCGAGGCCCAGGCCACGTGGTTGCCGCATGAATTGAGTGCAGGAAATTGGTATCACACAATTGGGCCATGTGTCGCATCGCAGCGGGGCTGGCCGCGGGCCGTCTATGCGTCTAGGAGCCATTGCAGCGAAACCCCCGTCCCAAGGGCCTGCTGCCCCCGTAGCGCGGCTGTGATGCCTGGCTTGACCCAACCCAATGTGATCGATAATAATTTATTAACTTTTTAAGCGCACAGTTGGCAGCGTACCTTCACACTCGGCGCCCGACCCGTGCCTACTGACATGGTCCTGGGTGACTGCAGGCACCTGCTGGGCTGTGTGAAGCGCAGTGCGTGCATTTGGCACATGTAAAGGCTGTGCGCCTGGTTTCAAGTTTCTCATGTGTGTGATAAGACTCACTTGACCAGGCTTGACAGGCCGACACGAGGCTGAGGGCGCGGGGCAGGCATGGCAGCGTGGCAGGTGGCTGCACGGGCCCAGGCTTTGAGCGTGCATGTGTCGCCCGCTCGGGCACGGGCAGGCTCGGCAAGCGCTGAAATCCGGATGTCCATAACTTCAAAGCCTTCATCACCGATCACTGCAAGATACGGGAGCGAAATCCGGCTCGCCTTTGCCATGTTGGTCCACGTTGCGTTGCCGAGGCCTTGAAATCCATCAACGGTGTCCGCGTACTGCTTCTCGAGTTTCTTAGACCTGTTCTATATACCCGCTAGCGTCTGTATTTCCCTGCACCCATCCGACCCTCGATCCCTCGTCGCTCCAGAAGCAGCGACACAAAGCAAAGTGCAAGGGGGGACCGAGGTCTTGGTATCTCAAGTCAGACTCATCTGCCGCAGCCGAACGAGCCAGCGGAGGCCCCGCTTGCGGAGGGGCCGCGTGCTTTTGCGCAGCTCGGCGCGCCTTGCTGCTGCTGCCGCCGCCATGGACAGCCTCAAAGCCCTGCTGGCCAAGAAGAAGGCTGAGAAGCAGGAGCTGGTGGGCGACAAGAAGTCAGTGCGGCGTGGAGACCTGGAGGAGGCCAAGTTGAAGCGCCTGCGCGAGGAGGAGGAGCAGGAGCGGCTCGCGAAGGTGTGGCGGCAGGCCGGGCGGCGATAAGGAGCGTGGCGCCCGCGGCGTCTGCTACGTACCCCTCCTTCATCCTGCTGCATGCGTGATTCGTTTGTGCCACCAATCGCTGAGACGAGTATTCCATGCTCTTAATCGCTGTGCCTGATGAGTGCACTCCCGGCTCTCGGTCGCTGCGCCCCTCTTGTGAACCCTTGCCCCCCTCCGGTGATGGGTTTGCAGGAGAAGCGGCGAAAGCAACACCAGGGCGCAGGCGCCAACGGTGACACAGCCGACGGCGCTGACGGCGCGCCTGTCGAGACCGCGGCCGAGCTCGCCGCCACCGCGCAGCAGCAGCAGCAGGCCGAGGCCGACGCGGCGGCGCTCAAGGCGCTGGCCGCCCTGCCGCGCGCCGAGATCGTGCGGCGCCTGCGCGCACTGAGGCAGCCGGTGACGCTGTTTGGGGAGGATGACGGTGGCCGCGTTGTGCGGCTGGCGCGAGCTCAGAAAGAGGCGGCCCTGGTTGACGATGAGGCGCGCTATGGGGGCCAGCAGGAGAACACGCTGCTGGCCATCCAAAGGGAGGCGCGGCTGAGGAAGAAGGGCGGCGGCGGCGGCGGGGAGGGCGAGGCCGAGCGGGAGCGGGAGGCCAAAGCGGACAAGGGCGGCAAGGGGGCCGGCGGCGGCAAGGGCGAGGCGGCCGGCGGCGGTGGCGGCGGGGGCAAGGCCGAGGCGGCGGCCGGCGAAGGGGGCGGCGGTGAGGGCCCCTCCAAGCCCGCCGACGGCGGCGCGGGCGGCGACGAGGGCGGCGCCGGCGGGCCGGGCGGTGCGGCCGGCGGCCTGGAGGACGCTTTTGCCGCGGCGGCTGCGCGGCTGGCTGAGCAGCGCGCTGAGGAGGCGATGGTGCTGGAGGACCGCATCGCCAAGTACCTGCGGGGCTGGTGCCAGGCGTGGGGGGACGACCTTGAGGCGCGCAGCGACGAGGCCAAGGCCAGCGGGGCGGGCCACCAGGCCACGATGGTGTACAAGCAGAGCATGCGGTTCATGGAGCCGCTGTGGCGCAGCCTGGAGACACGCAACCTGGACCCAGAGCTCAAGGCAAGCATGATTTAGGGGTGGTAGGAGGGGGACCGGGAGAGGCTAGGGTGGTGTTGTAGCATGGGGGTGGCGTCACCACGGCAGTCGGGACACGTCTTGGCAGCCTGCAGAGTCTGGGCCAGCCAAGGGGGTGAGGCTGCCGCTGTTGCAGCCGCAACCTGGGCAGGAGAACCTGCCGCTTCCCGCCTGCCTGCCTTGCGCGCATATCCTCTGTCACACCCGCTCGACCTCACAACCCCCTCCCCCCCCCCCCAGGTTGGCCTGTGGATGATGGTGACGGCCATGCGTGAGCGCAACTACCTGGCGGCCAACGACGTGTACCTCAAGCTCGCCATAGGCAACAGCCCCTGGCCCATCGGCGTCACCAGCGTGGGCATCCACGAGCGCAGCGCGCGCGAGAAGATCTCGCACGTCATGAACGCCAGCGGCAAGGCGCACATCATGAACGACGAGGCCACACGCAAGTGGGTGGGGGCGGGGCAATGAGGAGGCGTGAATGGTGGCGGTGGAGATCCCGCAAGCACACGGCAGTGCCGCTGCGTTACACGTGCGCGCTACATCTCCGTTTCATAATCTTTCTGCCATTTGGGCTGTCCATCCCATATCTCAACCGCCCTTCGACCCCGCCTCTCCCTCAAACTCTACTGCAATCCCCTCCCCCCCCCCC